GCTCGATAATTTCGATATACCTTTTTCTGGTAAAATGGAATAATTTCTTTGGCTTTACATTATTAATATATATAAGTTTCATATAATCTAAACATATCACTATATTGGATTTATGGATTCTAGGCCTGTAGTAATTATGATTCATTAGCTTAGAATTTCCAAATCCACCAAATAAATAATGTATATGATATACACTTCTTTTCTTTTCAAAAACCAACTCTTGTAAAAGAACTCTAATCCAAATAGCCTATTGTTATAGAGTTTTATTAGGTCGAATAATAGATAAAGTATCATATTATCTTTCAATCTCAAAGAGTTTATCAAAGAATTGTTGATAATCATTAATGCCAAAATATTTGTAGATATATAACTCTATATATTTCATATCATATCCTGGTCTATTATTAATGGATTTCTGTAATTTAGTTTTTTTATCAATAATAATAGGAATATTAAAACCTGATATATTTGATGATTTATATTGAATTTAAGAATTCAGATCTATTTGATTTAGCCTTACTAGTTCCACTAATAACTATATACTTTAAAATAATATGATTCAATTTTAGTTCAATCAGATTCTTGGACCATCTCTTTGAAAGTATTATAATCGTCATATTTTACGAGTGATGTATATGATGAGAATAGGAGAGATGCATATGAATCTAAAGATTCACCCTTTTGGGCCTGGATTGTAGCAAAAATTGTGGTTTAGAGTTATTCTAAAGAATTTATTTGTGATAATATTTATGTATAAATCACTCGTGCACTGTGAATATATTATGATCTATTTTTGATATATAAAATCTATTTCAGATGTGTGGATAAATCTATATCATTGCATAATTTATTTCAGGTGTAAAATCTATTTTGGGTTACAGCAGAGACTATCCCCATATAAGGAAAGTGTTACACAATTCAATAAATCAAGTTTTTATATATTTTAAAGTACTTTTTCGCAGAATTGTGTAGCTCATTGCTACAAAAAAATATGATTAGGAATGCTAAGCAAACTTGAAGTTTTTACAGTGCAGAATACTATATTTCTTGAATCCCATTGAATCCCTCACCCTTACATAGCTATTACTTAATGAAAATACCTAAGGATAAGTGTTATACAGAATGTGATTCTAAAGACTCGGTTAAATTCCATTCATTAAGTGGAGAGAAATGGAGAGATGCTCTGAACAAAGGTTTAGTAAAGCAAATGTGGGAGAAAGGAGTTATTCTATGCAATACTTGTTATATGCAATTTGTAGAGAATCCATTAAGAAGAGATGTTAAAAAAGTGAAAGTTGTAAATAAAGAAGAGGTAGATATGAAGATTGAGCTAACTAAAGCCATCAAGGCAATAGATAAAATTCTTTATGAAAGGGAACATGTGAAGAAAGAAGACTTAATATATTCATTTGATCAAATATGAGACTTGCTTCAAGAAAAGGAGCCTAGCCTAAAGGCTTTTTTCAATCAGCTTTATATGGCAGCCCAACCAATGGAACGCAACATACAAACAATAGATTGTATGAAAAGATTAATGATTTTTATATATTATCTTCTTGCTTCATTAAATAATACAAAAATTAACTGTCTCAAGTTTGACCTGGTATATTATTTAGATTCAGCAGGCACAAGTAATGAGGGTCTAAATACTATGGTGAATCTTGATGCAATGATAACTTCAAGAGCAGTAGATCATAAGAAAAAAAGAATGTCAGATAAGTATGAAGAATACGTAAAAGATTATCTTATGGATAATTTAGAAAAGACTTTAATATTAAATATTGACAACTATCATAATATCCATATTCAAAGGTAATCAGATACTATGAATATGTCTTGGATAGTACATATGGCAACAATTATAGCAAACTCATGCTCTGCACCAGCGATTCCATATAATAGAGTAATTAATCCAAAGATCGTTGATAAGGAGCTGATTATAAAGCATTTTGATAGACAATTTATTGCAAACCTTGGTATTTATTATTATAATCATATACAAATTTATGCGAGAAAACATTCTGATGATGAACTCATTGATGAACTAACATTATATTGCTATGATAATAGGATAACAAAAAAAAGAGGAGATCGACATATACGGAATGCTATTCTCTTTAACTTTACAGAACATAGCTTGAAAGGCATGGGTGGATATATCGATGCTCTCCAAATTATTTATAATTAATGACTTATGCAAATATACCTTTCTGAATATGCAATTCCAATAGTTGTGAATTGGCCAGATCAACTATACATTTGTAAAGCTCTTGCACAATGGCTTCTTGGAAATAATAAAATCATTCCTCAGTATATTATATCAGTTTTACCAATGATAGGTCCTCTCCATATATCCTTAAATACCTGCAAACTTGTATTTTTGAAGAATTCGTTCTTGTTTAATGATATTTATAAAGGTATATTCAGTTTACATAAAAATCTTGGTAAGAAACCACGGCCATAGAGAATTAATCTTATTCTTCACATTGTGCGCATGATATGGTTTGATATAGTTAATGAAGTTTACTTAAAATTTGATTGTAAATGCAAAAATCTTGAATTTTTATATATAATAGATTTACTGAGTAATCTAATACCCTTAGTACTTGATATTTATGCAGTACATCATCAAAGTGGTGATTGGCCAGCTTATAAAGAGGCCTGTATGCATTGCTGGAGTGATCTTTTCCTATAGTTTGATCGAAGAAATTATAAACGTGCACCATTAATATTTTTCTCTGATATATTTTATTAGATGGAAACTAATCATCCGATGGTAGATATAATTACTAATCATCTTGTTACTCTAAGCAATTGTCTTGTAGAAATGGTTCACAGTATTATCTGATGACATACTGCCAAGTTTTCAACTGCTGAACAATTACAGAAGGAAGCTCACTTTATATTTCAATAGTGACATGAAAATGCTTTTTGGAAATAATTTGTGAAGTCCATCAAATATTCTTATACACCAAAGTAACTATCTATGCTTTCTCGAAAGTGTGCCATACAGCTATTAGATATATTTACAAAATTATATCAAGTACGTGATCAAAATTCTTTGATTATCAAAATCTCCTCTAATAGTATTAATATGTATGAACTATCTTCATTAGGTTATACAATAACAGATCGACATCTTCCACGAGACTTTATTACTTCCAGAAAACCGAATACTACAATTCTTTGTGATTATATAGATTGCAATTACTCTGATCATTTAAATGATGACAGGATTTTGGCATGTGAACATGGTTATCATATTTATTGTTTAAATTAATGTCAATCTAAATGTTTAATATGTCTAGATTATCTTCAAGATGAGATAAAAAAAAATATCGATGTAATGTTGATGAGTATGATGAAAGAAGTGGTTGAAAATAAAATGATTGATGAAAGTAGTGAAAATATTGCTGAAGATGACTTAAATAATGTGGATGAGATAATAAATGATGTATTGATAATGGAGCGTCTATTAGAGCGTGCAAAAACATCATTTTTAGAACTGTAAATGATATTCTTATTTACAAATAAAATAAAATATAAATTTGTGTAATCTGCATATTTTGACTTTTATGAATTCTGGACCAATATTAAGGCTTATTCTGACCAGAAATTACGCACAAACTGGCCAGAATTTTCTTGCACCAAATCTGGATTCTGTACAACAGGATCAACAATGTGTGTAACTTTGACGGTCTCTGCTGTAATTTCGGGTGTATCACAAGCATATCGATATGAACCGGGAAAATTTCTCCCGAAAAGTAATGTGATACACGCATTGTGCAACCGAATACCTTTCTCACATATACCCATCCAGTAGATTTTCGCTTTTTCTTGTGTTCCATCCGCAATCTACCGATAACATTCCACTCATATATAACTCGAAATAACCCGAGTACCTGTGAAACGATCTCTGATTATCCTACAAATTTTATAAACGAATCATGTAGTGCCAATCCGGAATTGCTGATCACGAGCTAGCTAAATTTCGATTCCCAATTCATTAACTGATAGTTAGTTCATTAACCGTAATATTTTGCCCAATATGAATGTTGTTTTGCGTTCGAATCTATAATGAAATTAGGTATTAATTACTTCATACATAAAAACGTGCGTTTTCTCAGTGAACTGGCCCTAAGATACAGAGTAATCCATATCGTGACTTTTTACGCGAAACCCACGTAATTTCAAGCAAGCAACTATAATCTATAACCGCAACATCTCAATCGTATCGGCCTCGTTGCTACCCAATAAAATCGAATCATAAATCGTAAGGTGAAACCCATTGCTTTGCAATACAAACCTATCAAAATGTTCTCGGTTACTTCCGATTTTTTACTGCTCGCCGGCTTCATGGTGATTCAAATGATATTTCTATACATCGTAACCTGGTGTAATTCTCGGAACACTGAAAAGCGATTCGACGCAAAAATGACCGACTCGCTCAAAAAACAACAAAAATTTATCTCTGGTTTATCTGAAACCGTAAAACATCTTGGTTATGACATTCGCGAAGTTCGAGATGGGGTCGCAAGAAGTAGTAATGCCGGATCTGGTACATCCAAAACGCCTCAAAATTATACTGGCACCATTTTCGAACTGTGGGAAGAAATTGATGCATTATTCAACGAGAAAAGGCGTGTCGAAAAGCGGTCCATGGCAAGGCTGTACCCCAAGGTAGCTGAAGAAATCCGAACCCTTGTTAGCAATCATAAGAGGGGGATAGCGATCAGTGATGCCACCATTAGAAATTTTCATAAAAAATTGACTAAAAATCCGAAAGAAGATACGCTCGATTCATTAAAATTATGGGTATCAAAACAGAATGGAGAGATAGACACTGAACCGGAAAGTGAGGAGGGAGAAAATAGAGATAATACGGGGCCTAGCGGGACGAGAGAATAGGGGTCCACATTATAATGCTTTGGGGCAGTGGATTCCCTCCCATGCAGTCATGCTAGGTCCCGGCAATTTTTTATCTTGTAAATCATAAAACTCTATTTAAGGAACATATTAGCATTTTCCTGTATATAACAATATACTGATCGAGACTGAAAAGTAATAGTATTTGTTGCGGGATGATATGCAAATACATTGCTTCCCAATATTTTGCCAGCTTCTTCATAATTATCGAAAAATTCCATAAACGTTGTAAAGCTCAACTCTTTAGAGTCCAATAAAGCTCTGATTGCTTTCTTTCCTGCTTCGTGATACAATTGCTTTCGGCGGAGTTGTGCTTCATTGAATTTCTTCTCGGCTTCAGTTAGGATTGACTCTTTAATGACTGCAGAAATAGAGTTAAGCAATTAATCCAAAGCAGAGTCGTGTAAATTCATTTGATGCTTACCTTCAAAGGATTGTCCAGCCACGAAATCGTCCGCCACAGTCTTCAGCTCTACAATGCGACCACCAACCAATTCATATAGCTTTTTTGCCTCTACAGAGTTGATCTTGCGCTTCTCAGTTAGATATTTCATTGATTCTTCTTTGCTAAGGTCGCCAATTTCAATCACAGGTTTTTTTGCACGTGACCAAGCACTGCGAGCTAAAATAAGAATCACAATCTGTAAGTAACGATTCTTGGGGTGCACCAAAAAACAATGCAGTACTTACATTCCATTCTTCGAGGAACCGAACCTTCGCTACTGACAAATACTGCGATGTATTTTCTGCCATCGGCATTATCCTTGGCGTCATCTTGGAGAATATCGAGGACTTTCGGATTCTCATGAACCAATCGGCTGACGTTGTCATAAATAATGACCGGTGGTTTTCCATTCTTTGCTTTGTACACTGCAGAGGCACGTTTAAAGGCATCCATAGCTCTTACCCACTTGGGATCCTTTAATTCATCTATAAAAAAAAGAGAATCTGGATCAAAAAATTCAAGTTTTCAATAATATAGCGACAATGGAAATCTTACTTTTAGTTGTGCCTAAGATTTTTTGTGCAAGTTGTCCTGTTAATGAGATCTGTTCCTCAAATGCGAAATTAAGGGCACTTCCAAATTCGTCACCAAACTTTTCAAGGTTTGCTGGAACATCCACGTATATGACTCCGTGTCCAACTTCACTCGATGCAACCCTTGTCAGAGTAGTTTTCCCAGTTCCATGTTCACCGCAAACCATATGATAAAATGATTGGTCTTCATCAGGCTGAAGAATCTTTTTAAGACGCTCTATAATTAGAGGTCGAGGAACCAATTTGTCTCCTGAAACTCTCACATCAGGTCGAGTGCCCTTTTCCACTGTTTCGTTGAGAAGACGTTCGTTACATCCGTTTCGGTACCAAGCATACAGAAGGTACACTGATATAAGACCAACAAGGCTAGTTACAATTATGTTCGCCAATATAGCAGTCTACAAATAACGAAAAGGGGTTGCAAACTTGATCGAAAAATGCATAACAAACAATAATAAATCACATACTGGAAGCCGTTTTACAGTGTATTTTGTGAATTTGTTCAGGTAGGACGATGTAGACTCTTCGGGAGACGTATGGGGGGAAGGTGAAGAGTTTGCGTAAGGTCTCGAAAGTGATGATTGAAATAAGTCAGGTCTCAAGTTTCTCAACATAAGACTCGGCGACTGAAGGAATAGTACTCGACGGTTAACGAAGTGAATTTGAAAAATCGACCCACGAAAGTGTTGAGTTATTTTGGAGGAAGACATTGTTGGTTAAAAGAAGGATGGAATGACTCATCATCGATTCTTTCCTTATTTATGTTTCGATCACACGATTCATCAGATCATTACGTAGTCCACGAGAGAAAAATTTTCTGTCGCACAAAACGCTCATATATTTCCTTTGTTTAGAAATATCCCGATCGCCGGTTCGTGTTGCACAGCCGGATATGTCGTACGGATAAATCGACGCGATATTTGTTATATTCGGCACTATTGTGGAACAATGAGACTTGTCTCTCATGCCGGCGCGAAAGAATAAATCATAGTGTTTAAGTGAGACAAAGACACTTAATTTGAATTTGCGGTCGAATAAAACAATAATATGGATAAAGCCTATTTTGGAGAAATGACACTTCGTGCCTTAACCCCTGAATATTTGGACTGGTATGCTAAATTGGTTGAAGTACCAAGTTCTTTGAATGATAAAATTCGTTTGATCTTATATAGAGCATATACGGAAGAGACTGGGCTCGATCCCTGGGTAAAGCCTGAACCTTCACGAATCGAAAAGGATGCTGATGATCATATCTTACAGGACAGTTTACCGGAAACTCAGATAGTAGTGCCAAACAAAATTTACACCTCCTCAATTTCCAAGACTGATCCAAACAAAAATCACCTTTATCAGTATGCCATCGAACATGGAATAAATCCAAAAGAATTTTCGATCATTACAGAGGCTGAGAAAAATAGATGGGCCATGGGATGTTTTCGTGGGGATTTGGAAAGAGATATACGTTTCTATCGTGGTGGAATAAAAAGAAAAGAAGACCCTAGAAAATATCGTGAATTTTTAACAGATCGGGAGAGGCTGGTCGGTGAAGAGTTATCACGTCGTGGTATACTAAAAAGCGGTTTAAGTACTGAATGGCTCGATAATCTCATGGAAGAATGGGAAAAAACTTATAATCAATTCTTACAAATTTTTAATTAATTCGGATCTACACTCAATTATTATCACTGACGGAACACGAAATAAAAACAACAATTTATATCTTTATTGCTCCGCTGATATATGTAAAATTATTTTTAGCCGGTCATATAAATTATTTGTAATATCTATCAATAAAGTAACACATATGTTCGATCAACATAATCGTGTGACCTTCTGTATAACACAAAAACCAGATTTGAATATTTTCTTTGGACATGGGCAACCCCAACGCTTTACGTCAATTATTACTACAATAGCACAATGAAATATGACGTTAGTATTAATATCGCCATCTCCGATAATAATTCCAAACGTGGGTATTAACCTCCGTGAATGATGTGAATAATGAATATGTTAATTTTAGATAAATTGCACGATACTCTAAATTAGTGATTTACGGTGGAGCTAAAAACCCCAATAGGTATATAAATACTTAGAGTCGGAGACTCATGGCTTTGCCATAGAACTATACTACATGCTCCATTATTGCTCATATCCAAAAGAAAAAGGTACGTTTATTTGCTTGTCTTGCTGTAATATTAATGAAATTCTAAATATGAGATCTCTATATTTGACAGAAAATGGTTAAAGATAATATCCACCTCACATTTCTTGTCATTCCTACTGGTGCATTTTTCCTTTTTTCCTCGACTCTCAGAAAAAAGATATATACGTAATCAAGATCCAGATCAAATCAATATATACTAAAGTTCTGGCTTCGAGTGGTGCAGTCACGAGAAGGCGGGAATGAATCCGTCAATGCATTACGTACTAAAATCTGGGATTACTACTTCAACGAGTACGGAAATGTTTCATTTAATCTTCGTGCGGTCGATATCGAACGTAGAGAATATGTGTATATGGAACCTGAAAAAAAAATCAGCGATTATTTCGATAAAAGTCCTGCCGAAATCTCGATTCATATTCTCGTAGAAGAAGCATAGCTTCGAGACTATGTCTCATCTAATGATTAGCTTTTTTTATACCTATAATAATAACAACATGTATTAAAAACTTTGTACTATGTGGTTACGACCATTTAGGCCCGATTGTCTTGTTAATACAATAAAAAATACATGTGAGACGGGAAAACTATCTACCCGTTATTCTTCGGTAAATTTTTTGATCCCAGCCTTCTTACTGGTTGGGAAATTCACATGACTGCGAGACAGATACAAAAATCGATTGCGTATACAGATATTCGATCAACGTACCACGGAATAAATTAGAAGGTCATGGAACTTTTTATGCATGATGCTCATTACAAAGTAATAATCATGTAACCCGAAATCGATTGCGTAACACAACAGATGTTTGATCAACATTATACCACAGAATAAAATCGAAGGTCGTGGAACTTTTCATGCATGGTGTGATCGTGTGATCTGCTGATTGTTCTAATCTGATTGATTAGCTCGTGGTATATGCAATTTCTTTGTGAAAAGTTTTTTCGTCGTGCATTGCATCGCTCCAGTTCCACATTCCCTGAATCTACCATTCCCATACCTAAATGAGACCAGAAATGAGCGGAGGGAGCGTTTTAAAAGGACAGTATATTTACATTGTGGTTGTTCGTCGCTTTATAGTGAATTCTTTACAAACTAACAGTCTACCAAAAAACTTCTGCAACTGAATATGTCGACTACCGTATTTAATAGAATTTTGGACTTTATGAAAGATGAACCAGTAAAGCATATTACAGCAGGATCGGTAATTTATAAAGGCACGGAAGAAGACCAAACAATATCAAAAGATGAACTCTTAAAGTTGACGATTAACGCAATTCGGTCCATGAAAAATATTGCTGGCGAAGATTCTGAACGCTTTAGAAAGATTTCCAATATTCCTTTAGAGGTTGGTTATTCTTTTTTTTTTAGTTATTTTTTCATATATATGATGACGGCGCAGATATTACTTGACAAAGTCAAAATAAACGCCTGAGCCTACAAGTACAAGTTACGATTTCGAACGTAGTGAAGGGTGTTTCGACTCTGTGGAGTTAGGTTTAGATAAGTTATCGTCCTTGTGGCGGCCGAACAAGGATGGCAACTTTACGATATTTCTGATAGCGCGCGCAAATCGGGTGGATAAAATATATTACAAAGTTAGACTAACATAATATTATTCTGCGTCAGTTCGAATGTGCATATGAAACTATCTGTAGTCTACGTGATATCAAGGCGTTGAAGACGGTATGACGGATTAATTTTCGTAATAATAATATCTATGAATATAAACTAATATATACATTTGTAAAGAGTGAACAAGTTCCCCTTGATGATGATACAATAAAGAAAAATATACGATCTTTACAAGGGAGACTTTTGAGCGATTCATCCCCCCTTTCTGTAGAACTCTATCAAAACGTGAAAAATATTCCCATTACAAACCTAACCTGGGAAGATCCTCTAGCTAGTCGAGTCATAAGTGATGATTCAATCGTAGTAAAAAAGTTGTCAGCGAAACAGTATCAAAATTTTATGGTAAGAGTTACTTTGTTTTTCTTTGCTGTATTATTATTTAAATTATATAAATTGATTCTCAACAGAAACCAGCACGTAATATGGCCACCACACTCCCAGACTCGATCCAAAATAAATGCCATGAGTTCGTATCAGGATTTTCAGAAGAATATACTGATGACCTATGTATAAAACTTATGCATAATGGGAAATGGAAAGAGTCGGATGAAACCCTAATAGGAGTTACACAGGATATTCTTGATGTAGTGTAAGTAATTTTCAAAATGGGCGAAGTTTCTAAGATCCTTAATTAATAATATTTTTATACCATTTGATTATAGGGCCGATGTTTGGATGAATCCAGCATTTGGACCGGAACTTATGAAAACACAAAGTGAGGGAACGTATGTAACAGATGTAATAATCCCTTCGATTCGGGCATCATTGAAAGGGCTACCACATAGGCAATCTGCATTTATCAGCACGTAAGTCGTTTTATTTAAGTAGTATTATATTCATCACTATCAAAGTCACGTTTTTAGAAATTTATTATAGTGCGGAGCGACAAAGCATTGCCAGCGCAGATAGGAAAGGGGATGGATATTTTGGAAAACGACCAGATTTCATGTATTTACAAAAACGGGAGGGTAAGATATTTGAGCTTGTATTTGGTGAATGCTCACGTTTATTATGTAGCGATATCAAAAAAAGAGAAGATGAAGTAAAATTGTGGAGGGAAACAAACGATGGTATGTTTTGGGTACGACAAGGGTGTAAACCTGAAAAAGATCAATTTGGCATTGTGGGGATTCAAGTCGCAGGTAAAGTTTAATAAGACTATTTTAGAACTCTAGTCCATTATTTACCGATCTAATAATAAGGTGTAATATTATAGGGACCGAAATCCAGTTAAATGTACTTATCAGGGATAACCTTGATATACATCGATATTACCATCTGAAAAAAACGCAAATTCCTATACAATGGTCAGATCCAACATTATCGACTCTACCTGAATTTGTTGAATTATTGTTGAATTTGCGGGTATTTATTTTAGTATACCAGATTTCGTTTATTGTGTATAACAAAACTAATTTTGTTTTATATAGAATATTTTGGTCGTCAATTTATCTCTGTTAATGCAAGTACCCACGAGTAAGACGCATCGTGTCGAAAAAAGTACTACAGTATCATCACCTAGAGAAGAAACACCCGACAAACAAAATAAAAAGAGGCAGAGACGATCCAAGAAAACATCAGGATATAATGAGCATAGAAAAAGCGCGTATTTTTAGAATATAAATATTATCCTGTATTTTTATTTGTAATAATAAAGAAAGCGATGCGGTTATTTATCGGGCACATGATCGAGTATCGAGTTGTACACCACCCCATATAGTCACACCGTAAATTAATTATATGCTTGTAGTACGTCCCGAAATAGATTATGTAACGATTATCCCAAATATAGTACAACGCATTATCAATAAACCAACTATCTCTATCGCTCGGCCATGTATGTTCCACGAACTTCTATGCTGATCCCGATTGGTTAATAATTTTCTGACCATTAACGGTTTTTTAATTATTCTGATTGGATGGATCACTACTCTGAAGAATAGGCCCTATTACGAAGCTTATTTTTACGATTTTTTCGGATAGAAGAAACAACCTTTTTCTTTTTAACATGAACACGATTCTTTCGGGAGTTTATTGGGTCAAGATCATACCAGTCTGAATTCATGGATTCTGAATCGAAGCTGGATGAATCAGTCTCTGTCTCAGATTTGTTGTGAAATATTCCATGACATTTCTTTCGTTGCTTATTATTACAAAACAATGACCCTTCAAGTCTATCTTTAATATTTGAGAGAATTTTGTTAATTATATTTATAATCTTCTCTTGAGCTAGACCAGGTTTAGATTCTGTTAATTTAGGGACAAAGTCTCATGATTCGGAGAATCACCTAATGGCCTGCTTTGCAATAAATAAGTTATTTTTAGTGAAGCTGGCTTTATGGCTTGAAGAGTTATCTGTAGGTCTGTTATCTTCTTCGATTAATGAAATACTCATATCATCTATCTCAATTTTAACATAGTGCTTATAATTTTCCAGAGAAAATCCAAAGTTAATTTTTGCTTCGTGCATTCATAACCAATCCCGTCCTAGCATCAAATCAAATGATGAATTTTTGTGAATTTGAAAATCTATTATTTTGGTACTATTTAAGCTTTGTCACTTTTCTTTATACCAAAATTGCAAATCTAAGCATTTTATTTCTTTGCCTATCAAATCATCACCGGATATACCTTCTAACCCATAATCTTCTTCAAGCTTATTATATAAGCACTTGCTAATAGTATTAGATTTAGATGTTATATTGATTAATGCTTTTACTGGGATTTTTCCCTCTATGATTGTATCAATGAAAAACATGTCAAATATTACTGGAAGCAACTACACAGTAGCTATTTAATGATGTATATTATAACTGAAAAAATAACTTGATAAATAATTAACCATTCTCCACTGCTAAATAAAATTATTTGTAAATCATGCTGAATGATTAGGAATAATCCTACCAGTCTCTCTGATATAATCATCGAATGCAGAAATAAAATCAATATCTTGTATCATCCCAATCATAATAGGGAAAGGTATATCTATTTCAGAATCACTAAATTCAGTCTCAGAATTGCTAGATTCAGACTCCATTTCAGAGTATTCTGAATTGTAATATTTATTTAGACTATTAAAGTCACGTTTATATTTGGAAAATTTGGTTATTATAGCTTCTTCATCTGACTCCATTACAATAAATTTAGAGAATAATAGCTTGTAGAATGTATGTAATGAAAGAGATAATTCTCAATACTATTTCTTGCGCAATATTAACTTTTTTCTAATTCTTGTTCTTCGATATCTTTAGATCTATTAATATATAGTAATAGTTTTTTATACCTATTAACTCGATATCCTGTATGCATTAACTATACATATCCTAAAACCAAATCATATTCAGGCTTGTCAACAACTACAAAATTTGCTGTATCTATTCCCAAATATAAAGAGGGTACTATATCATCAAAGATATTTGGCAAAGTAATGGAAACTTTTTCTCTGTCAATCCAACCCCTCCTCATCACTTTCTTGCCAGCATTTGTTACACCAATACCAAGGTCTATTACTGCAGGATATCTTGATCCATATTCTCTAGAAATATATAAATCTATTTTTTTGGCAAGTGTTTTACTAATACTACCATGCTGGGACTTAGGGTCAATTAGCGCTTTAATAGTTGTATTTTTATCAACGAATATATAGTCCACTATTAATCTTTTGCAAATTTCTCTAATTACTTCAGCTTTCCATATATCATCTAAACTACAGCAATTTTTAAGATCTTGGATCAGAAGATACTTCATTATGAATGGTATTAATTCTGATGAAAGAAGATTAAGTAAATTAGGCATTGCTAATTAGTATATATCAGAAATAACTAATGTTCAGATAATTAATTTAGGCATATATATTATTTATTTTCCAGATATTCTCAATCACGCTTAACTTTGCAACCAGCTCATCTAATAACAGGTCTGTTCTACATCTTCTGGCTTCTAACTGGTTATCAGATAACAATCCATGGAGGAATTGATATTTAAGCTGATTTTCATTATATCCAGCTAATTTACCATATTTTTTTATTTTTGTATAATATTCCATTATCAAACTATCCTCTTGTCTCAAATCTCCAAATTGAAACTTTTGAATATCAATAGATCCAGTTGAGATTCTATTCAAGTGATTGACTATTTTATTCAGAGGCTTTTTAAAGCTGAATTGGATTACTTCTTTTTTATTATCTCATGATAGGCCATTAAAGAAAGTTCCCTTAAGGTCTTGATTATCAATATTGATCAATGATAGGAATACAGAAATAGTTTGTGATTCGGGTTCAGAATGTCTAATTATCCCTTATGAGATTATGAAAAAATTGGGTTTGGAAATAAATAAAAGTTTATCCAATATTACTAATAAAGCGGTATCTGGTATTATTAAGCAAATGGCAGATAAAAGAATCTGGATCTCTCTCAGCCAATTACTGAAGATAGTGAAATCTGAGATTTAGCAGAATATTATAAATGTGATAGTATATCCTGATATTCCTTAAAAAAAAATCATACATCATCTGAGGCTAAAAGAAAAAAAGAAATTGTTAATTGATACCGCATCTAAGTCCTCATCCACATCTGAATCTGGATCTGACTCTGAATCATCTAGCTATAAAGTGACTACCTCTGGTAATGATGATAAAGATTTTATTATGGATGTGGTAGGCAGAAGCCATTGCTCCATAATAAAAGTGAAGAAGCATGATTAATTTTGATCATCATAGAGATGGAATAGTCTTGCTTATTCATAAGGAACTCCTCTTTTTCTATAATTGACTACAATGTAATTTTACACAGGTGAAGTATGGTTATCTGGATTATGATATAGATATTCTCTAGCAATAGTATAGGTGTGAGCTGGATTCTCAGCTTTATATACTATTACACCATAAATTGTTCCTAATTTATGTAAATATTTAGGAATTAAATCATAATCTTTTAAGAATTTATTGAACCATTTAACTCCTGGCTTACCTGGATCACCCATTCATCCAGATAATATAGCATGCTAAATTCAAGTGAATAGTTCTTTAGCTCATTCTTGATTCTTTTCCATAGATCTAAATTTTCTAGGAATATCTAACTGATCTTGATTTTTCGTATATCCCATCACTCCAGTATCTGTAATACGTAAAGTTTTAAGTTCAGCAGGTCAAATACAAAGCATTATCATAATATCTGTGAGGGCTTGTAAATCAGATGGAGTTTTTAAATCATACCCATCTAATCTTTCTTTGACCGATTCTAATGTAAATTCATCTGGATAATTGATATATTTAGTTTTAGCCTTTTTTTTGGATTTTGTTGGCATCTTCTGTAATATCTGGAAATTTTATAGCCTCGATTATCTCAAGTGATGCATTAAGATTTCTTAATTCTCTATGAAGATGAGTGAGACATGATGAGCTAATATTAGCATTTTTTGCTGATAGGGCTAAGGCATAAGCTTCAGCTCTTACATCTCTAATATTAAATTTATCTTGTAAAATCCATTACACCATATCTCTGATAGTTTCTTCCTCTATTTCTTTCAAGAGTTTGTTGGAAATCACAATATTTACGTTTTTATCTGAGGTAATTATACTGTAACTACTTCCGTTTTTCTGGATTGAGAATAAGGCATTCACTTGATCTTCACTAAAGCCATATCTATTCTGTAAGATTTGTTTAGTTATCTCTTTGATAATCTCCTCTTCCAAATTTTTTGGGAGCAAAGCTATAGTTATTTTGCAACTGCTCTCGATAATATTTATAATCTTGGTCTTACTACCTCTTTGATTAGGTATTAATATACTTATCTGATCACTGCTAAATTTAAAACCCTCTTGAAGATATCGTCAACCTTAATTCTATTTTCTATCATCGGTAAGGTTTTCAAGAAATTCTGAGGTGTATTTACTAAGCTCAGATACACTCATCTCGTTGTTGAGATTGTATTTTTTAATAATTTTAGTTACAATAGCTGACATGATCTAATATTAAGTAGGTTATGAACAATTTTTTAGATTATTTACACTATAAAAAATATTTTTTCAAATCAAAATTAATTATCTGCAGATAGCTATATCCAAAAATTGAATAGGTCATGATTATTATAATTCTATCAGAAAATGGATGTGAACAAGACATGAAATAGATTGAAGATTTTAGAATCTATAGCTTTACGTAATAAAATTACTAAAAATATCAATAGGATCAAAGAGGATATAACATTACTTAAAGAGGTCCTGGAAAAAATAATCAATATATATGTATGCCAAGTATATGATTAGACTTCATGCATAGAATCAGGAAAATCAGATATATAATTCTTAAATATGATAATTTATGCACATAACTCATCCTGCTTTTTTCTGTCATAATTCTCTTTACTTTTATATTTTCCCACATGTTTATTGCATGCATTATATTTAGATCTATTTGGCTTATCATAATTTTACCTTCTCGCATATACTTGAAGCCAGAAAAAAACACATGACTCCATTCTATTTTGAAATGCAGATGCCAAGAAAAATTCCCTATAACAATATATCAAGGTATTTCACTTAATTTTATAGTACTTTATGCCTCATATAGAGAATATCTATTCTCATGATTATATTTTGTGAATAATTCAGCTTGTCTCTTTTTATGATAATTTGATTTGTTGCAATATTTTCTAGCATGTTTAACACACATATCATATGTAGAGGTAGTTGATGTGCCACATTCTCCACAAGAAACCCATACTTATATTTTTCAATGAAGAGCATAACTCTCTTGTCGATAATAACCTTTTTCACAAATTCGTTCATCAATATAAATATGTGGACAAGAATAGAATACCATTACTAATAATAATAATTTTCAAATTTTGCATATATAAAATAATTATTTTTTGAATTAAACTTTTTATGTCACTTTTATTATAAGTTAATAAATCAATGCATTATATACTTTTTATCAGATCAAACAACGTACATATATAAACAACATATATACAAATCAATAAAATGAGTTTGTCTAGTGAAGCAAAAAAATATCTTCATGAATCATTACAGCAACAGTGCTTAAATCAAAAGTCAGCTGAATATAATGAAGCAAAATGGCTTTTTATGGGTTTAACAAATCTTGATTATAAACCTGGCCATAAAGAACATATATTTTATAAATACTGGCTTGCATCTAATGGCCATACTGATAAAAATGATACTGCGCTTTTAGATGCATATCGACCTGAAGATATTTATTCTCAATATATAATTTGGATGGTAAGAAAAGAGTATACAGTGATCGATCATCCTACAGAAGTTTATAGAATACCTAATACTCATAAATGTATTGATAGTAACCAGCCTCTTCACTTAATAATTGACATTGATGCAAGGCAAAAGCCTGATCCAGATAATCTTAATCATCCTTCTCTAGATAGTAAAAAAATTACTCATGAAAATTTGTTATCTTGAATTTTAGTTACTTGTGCAGATACATTAAGTCTTATTCCAGATTGCATACCTTTCTTAAATTCTTTTACTTTAGCGAGTTTATCAAATGCTGAGAAATGCAGTTGGCATATTATTTATCCTCGTGCCCAATTCATAGATTATAGAAAACTTAAGAGATTCACAGAGAAAGTTATGGAATTAGTTAGGGAATCTTATTCGAAATTTATTGATAATGGCCTTCCCAAAATACATTTTAATCTTCGACTCCTTGGATCAGTAAAAGAGAGACGTATAAAAAGATCTGCTATCTTTTCTGTAAAAAACGGATTTCAAAAGCTAGAGGATTATCTGATTCAGCCTAAAGAGAATTATTCTGTGATCTGGTCATGAATCTTTTCTTCTGAAGAGCCAGTAAAACAAGAATCTCAGCCTATTAATGATGAAAATACTTTGAGTAGAGGAGCTAATCTAGTTATTGAAGAATATAGATGACTTCAGATTGGAAAAATTAGGAATGGTTTTATTAATTTTCAAGCACAATCTGTTAAAGAATATCCTATATGTGACGTTAAACATAATAAGAATCAACTTTACAAATTTATTTGAAAAAATAGGTATTTCATACTTAAATATTATCACCAAAAACAATATAAGCCAGATTATAAGGAATTAAGCTTTGAAAAGGTATTAGATAAAGTTGAATCAAAAGAGAAACCTAAGAAGTGGGGGTTATGTAAAAGATTACCCAAGGTTGTAAAGAATCCACACCTACTTGTAGATTTATCTAGAAATAATATTAATGTTAAGGAAATGAAGGATGCTCTAGAAGCTTATCCAGATTTTATGAGTGAGGAACCTACTACAACTCTAATTCACTCACCTGTTGCCAGCAGAAAAACAAAAACCTTAAGAGAGATTCTTAATTCTTTAGCTAAAAGTGAAGCAAATTTACCTTGTTTTAACTGGGTTTCATATCATAAAACTCTTAGTAATGAAACTAAAAGTAAAATTAAAGTATTACAGAAATCTGGACTTTGTGTATGTCATTATCAGGAAAATGAAAATAATTTAGCTATACGTGACTAGGATATTATTATTATTCAGGTCGAAAGTACACATCATCTTAATTTCTATGGGGGTCATTCTCATGTAGTTATTTTAGATGAAGCAAATGGTATTATGCATCAAATGGCAAGCAAAATCCATGCATGAGAATCTGAAAATGTCATGTAAAATTTATTAAAGTCAGCTGTTCATATGGTTGTCATGGATATTTTTGCAAATGAGTCAACTTTAGCCTTCTTAAGATAATACCAAGGTGAAAACATCCGAGTTTTTGATAATAAGTATTAGTCACATAAAAATGAGACTGTAAAA